TACCCTTCTTTTAAATATTTGTTATTGATTTCAGAGAGGAAGGGAGAGGGAGAGAGAGAAACATCAATGATGAGAGAGAATCATCACTTGGCTGCCTCCTGCACGACCCCTATTGGGATCGAGTCCAAAACCCAGGCATGTGCCCTGACCAGGAATCGAACCATGACCTCCTGGTTTGTAGGTTGAGGCTCAACCACTGAGCCACACCAGCTGGGCTAAAATCACCCTTCTTGATTTTCTTTGGACTGTTTCCTCGATACCAGGTAATGTGTTCTGTGTAAGGTACCAGGTGACTACAGTGAACAAAAGGTAAATATTTACAAGGAGTTCACTGATTTGTTCATTTCAGAGAAGCGATTCAGAGGTTTGAAGTTTTAACAAACAATCTGCTTATCTATATGCTAGTATACAAAAGGCTAATATGCAAAGTGTCCCCTTGGGAGTTAGACTGGGAGTTCCATTGCTCGCTATGACATGCGCTGACCACCAGGGGGCGGCATGGAATGAAGGAAGGTCCTGGCAGGCAGCCGGCACCCAGGGAAGAAAGGCCCTGGCCAGCAGCTGGAAGGCCCCAACCAGCCCTGATCGCTGGCCAGGCCTAGGAACCCTACCTGTGCACAATTTTGTGCACCAGGCCTCTAGTCTATAAATAAGTACAGCTTCAAAACTTTTCCTATAGCCTCCCTCTTCCCTGCTTGCATTCACATTTACTATAAGATAGTAGTTAAGAGTTAAGTCTTTAGAATTAAGACACAGCTAGGTACATATCCTTTATCTCCCACTTAGTATCAATGGAAAATTGGGAAAAGGCCTGTTTAAATCTCAGATTCTTCAGTTGTAAAATGGGCTTGAATTAGCTTGAGTCTCCCCCAACGCAGAGCCCAAGTCAAAGACTTGGGGCTGGGGGTGAGGGTGATCCCAGAAGGCGGAGATGTAGGAAGAAAGAAAATGATACAGATGAAGAGGAAAGACCAATATGGTGAATTATTGGGCTGGTTACTATTCTGAATAATTGAGGCTCAATCCCTCCAGAGACCTTCTGAAAAACCATATAAAATATATTCCCGAATTATCCTCTCAAGGTAGGTGCCTGAGACATTTGTCCCTCCTTGTGTGAGGAGTGCCCCAGGGCACTAATTTCCTCAGGGCAAAGAATGAGCTTGTATAGAAGTCTCCATGCAGCTGTGGCTGAAGTTAGAAATGGGTCACCTGATGTGACATGAGACACAGTACCTGCTACGTGAGATAAATAATACCCATATTATAGAGTTACTGTGAGCATTCACTGAAATATTTGTAAAAGGTTTAGCATTGTGCCTGGCACATGGTTAAGTACTGATAAATGTTCACTTTATTGTTGCTGCTACTGCTGTTATTATTATTATCATCATGATTATTATCATTGCACTTTCTTGAATGAGAGGCAGGGGAACATTTTTGGAATGATACATAACCCACAGCCTGTCTCTTCCATGCCACAGCCTGTATGATTGACCATGACCTCTGGCCATTTGTTGTGACTATTATAGACTAGAGGCCCGGTGCATGAAATTTGTGCACGGGGGTGGGGTGTGGGAATCCCTCAGCCCAGCCTGCACCCTCTCACAGTCTGGGACCCCTCACTCCTTACCGCCCACCTGCTCGCTGCTCCTTAATGCTGCTGTGGAGGTGGGAGAGGCTCCCGCCACCACTGCTGTGCTTGCCAGCCGTGAGCCCGGCTTCTGGCTGAGCAGTGCTCCCCCTGTGGGAGTGCACTGACCACCCAGGGGCAGCTCCTGCATTAAGCGTCTGCCCCCTGGTGGTCAGTGCGCATCATAGCAACTGGTTGTTCTGGTCATTCCACTGTAATGGTCGCTTAGGCTTTTATTATATAGACTAGAGGCCCGGTGCACGAAATTTGTGCATGGGCAGGGTCCCTCGGCCTGGCTGGCGATCAGGGCTGATCAGTGCCTTCTGGCTGCTGGCCGGGCCTTCCTTCATTCTGACTGCTGGTTGTTGGTCAGCGCATGTCCTAGCAAGCAATTGAACTCTCGCCCTCCTGGTCTAACTACCAAACTCCCAAGGGGACAATTTGCTTATTAGCCCTTTTATATATATAGATCATTATAGTATTTTTACTTTGTGTGTGTGTGTGTGTGTGTGTATTAAAATTTGGTCACAAGGAAAAGTCATATTTGGTCAGTTGTATGGGGTGTAAAAATGGTTGATAACCATTGCTCAGGAATAGCACGGTCCAATAGAATTTCCTGCAATGATGAAAGTAGTCTATCGCTGTCTGATATCGTAGCCACTAGCTGCATGGGCTAATTGGGTACTTGAAATATGGCTAGTGTGGCTGAGGAACTCAGTTTTAATTTTATTCAACTCTAATTAATTTGTGTCTCAATGTAAATAGCCACATGCAGACACAGTGGAGGACAGTTAGAGATGGTGTTCCCAGTGAAACACCATAGTGAGAGGAAAGGACCCTTTTCCTGGGCTAAGATTAAGGCAATGTGGCCAGTGCTGTATTTCATCTAGACCTAAGCCCACCAGGTCTCACTCCCGGTTGGAGAGTGGTGGTATCACTGAGGCCAAGGGCTGCTGGCTGAGAAGCATAAAGTTGTGGGGACACAAAACTGGTACCCGCTGGGGGAGGAGAGGCCTCAAGCTCCCCAAGGCTTGGCCATTGTTCTGTGCACAGAGCGACTGCTAACTGTTGTGCCGGGGAGGGCTGGCCTTGCAAGCTCACAAGTTCAGCTTTTACTAGTTATGCCTCTGCCTTGTCCCATTTCTCTGCAGGCATTTGTCCTGTGCTCACGATCCATGAGCAATCATTGCCGAGTACGTACTGTGATCCCAAGCGCTATGCTGGCCACCAAGGAAGATAAAAGAGAGGCCTGTCCAACTGATGTTCTCCACTCCCTAGAAGATTATAGTGAGAGACAAGGTTCTCATATAATGAGCCATTAACTTCAACAGCACCTTCTCCGCTTGGCAATGCACCTGTGTCCTCCAGCGAGCTTCTCGCTGGTAATTGACAATTTACTTGTCTACTGCTCCACGAAGTCAGGGACCTCAAACACCGTCAAATACTAAACTGAGGCTGATCACAAGGGAAACAGGAGTTAAGAGAGGAAAGAGATCATATTCCCTGAAGTCATTCAGAGACTACGTGGAATTCGGACTAGGCCTTGAGAAATGGGCAAGATTTATCTATGCGAGGAGTTGAGCAATGGCATTCCAGCGGGGTAACATCACAAGCAAAGGCATGCAGGAAGGATTATAAATGTTATACTAACAGGAGGCAAGATGAATCAGAAGAGAGTTTAGAAAATAAGGTAGGATGAGCAGGGTGGGCCTCGACAGCCAGGTGTTTGAGGGGGGACCCATGTTATGGGGTGATAAGAGCACTATGAGCCAGACCCTCTGTGCCTCTGAGCATAGTGAAACCTGAGTTTACATCAGCGGGTCTGGCCAGATGTGTTTGGCACCACTTGTTTTTGCCTTTAACCTTTGATCTCTCCTCCTCCGATAGGAGCAGTTCAATTTCCTGAGAACCACCAGTGGGCTGGTGTGGCACAGTGACCTTACTTCAATGCCTAGGTCCAGGGATAGATGGGCATGCGTCTTAGGAAGCGTTTCACAGTCACCGATACAGTCCGGGACTTTTGCCGGAGCTGTTATCTTTCTTCTTTGATTGTTAAATCAGTGAGATGTCAGCCTGAGGCTGCTGACTCTATCCTGATGCTGCAGGGAAAGAGTGTGTCTGAGGTTTAAACCAGCACAGAGGAAAGCAGAGCCAAGGGCTGAGAGAGACACCTGAGGACATCACCTGAGCACCTGGATCCAGCTGAGCCTGAAGTCGCACCTATTTCAGAGCTCGTCAGTCATTAGCTAGTTTCAGTTAGTTTCCTGCCACTTGCCACCAACAGGGTCCTGATTAATGTATACAGTGGTGAGTGGGGTGGCTTAGAGTGGAGGAGATGAGAGTCAGAGTGGTCATACCAGCTGGTTGTGGCTGGAACTCAGACATGAGGCTTTGAGGGTCTCAATCAGGGGCCATGGAGGTAAAAAAAAAAAAAGGTGAGTCAAGAGGTGAGAAGGCACTATCTATCTGCCCTCTCTTTGAAAGCTATACAAGCGGTGTGTACCGATTCTTCATCATCTCTTCCTTCATGAGGCCCTTTACTTGCTCTTCCAGTTGGTTTTGAGGCAAGTGAATCTGATATTCTTATCTGCATTTTATTGCATGAGGAGGTTAAAGGACTTGCCTCAGGTCACAAGGGAACCTGGGGTGTGACTCTGACTGTCTAGCTCATGCTAGAGGAGCTCTTGTTTGCTTGTGTATGGTAGGGACTGAAGTCACCAGGCTCGATCTTTCTGTCCCTTCAGAGGGAAATGCACCCCCCGCCCCCCCCCCCCCCCCCCCGCTTCTCTCATGGACACAGAGAATCTTACTGAGGAAAGGCCTGGGAGCCCGTGACCCCCTTCATTAAAAATAAACTCTGCCTGAGTCTCCTGGTTCTAAATAGAAGAAATGTAGATTTGGGGCAGAACCGAAGGGAAAGGGATTTCCCTTGGCAACTTATTTGCAATTTGTGGATTGGAGCTGACCCAGCTCCAATTCCCACGTCATTGTGAGCGCTAAAATGCGATCTAAAGCTTATTAAAGAACCAGAGCTGGAGGCCATCCTCCCACGGGGCTCAACCGAACAGGAGCAGAGTGAAACCCACCAGCTTCCTCCTCAGCATCTCATGTCCAGGCGCTGCCTACATCCTCCCCCGTGGTTACATGTTCGCGCCCAGGAGCCACTTCTCGCGCTGTAGGAGTTACAGCAAGCATATTCAAAGTGGCTGTGTCTTTCCTTGGCGTTTATGAAAAGCTACGTAGTACAGTTCACCCTTGAACAGCACGGGTTTCAACTGCAAAGATCTACGTGGGTTTTTTTCTCCAATAAATATGTGCAGTATTACAGTATTTTCTGTTCCTAATGATTTTCTTAATAACATCCCTCCCCACCCCCTGCCATTGGCAAGGAGACATCTGATGGGTGGTGTTGCTCATATCAATCAGGGCCAAAGCAGATGTACAGTCCTAGTTCATCCTAGCTTGATGCCTGTGTCGGTGCCAGAGCTGTTCATGCTGAGCACATAAGTAGAATAACATCTTCCACCTCTGCTCCCCTCCCCACCGGCGCCGCTTACTGTATTGTAAGAATACAGTATATAATACGATAAACATGCAAAATATGTGTTAGTTGACTGT